TCTCTCTCTCTCTCTCTCTCTCTCTCCCTCTCTCTTATACCCTCCCAACACACATATATACTTACAAACTCTTTAAGAGGTAAATGTAGCAAAAGCAAAATCAATAGGAACGAAGGCATGTGGGAACAACGAAAAATAAATTGAGAGATAATGAAAGTAACAAGGATGAACTGAGAATAGGGAAACATATAACGCTATTTCTGTCGAGGTTGGGGACAAGATTCCTTACTTCCCCCGAGTGGTGGAATGGGCATTTTCAGTGCTCGTAAGTACATTTCCCATCGTGTTACTGGCAATTGACTCTGGCTACGTGCTTTTTACCTTTTCACCCTTTCGTGTGAGTACTGTCTATCGATGTTATTGTCTCCTCACAGCGTCTTCAGTGAGTGGTTCCCATGCCTTTGATCATTGTTTCATGTGTCATCAATGTTCTTCTTCAACCCTCTGCACTGTCTCACATCGATTTTACCTAATTCTGATATTTCTTTTTTAGCTGTTTCAGTTGGGAAAAATTGAGCGTAAGTCGGGTGGGGGTGGGGGAAGTAGGGGTTGGGGTTGTAAGTAAACTTTAGTTAGAATGACAATTACTATATAATAATTATTACGAAAAATAAAACAAAATGGGTTCCAGTATGACTGACACGAAATACTATCACAACAATCTACATGCATTCTCACTAGCCCATTAATTTTCTTGGCTACATGCAAGCATGTTTTTTTGTTTGTTTGTTTTGTTGTTGCTTTGTTTTTGTTTTTTTGTTTTTTTGTTGTTGTTTTTTTGGGGGGAGGTGGTTAAGATAGTCCTCTAAGAAACTCCCTCCTTGTCACAACCCATCCACTGACATTCCTGGTGAGGCTGACCTCGACTAAAATCAGGTATTCGCCAGGTAATACAATGCACAATCGGCCTTTAGTCTTTTTATTCATTATTCTAAATAATGCAATCTTAGGTCTGCGCTCTCTACCATTTATCTGGCATCTTAATGAGGTGGCCACACAACTTGCATGAAGTGCTTCATTTTCTGAATATGTTCTACTCCATAGATCAATATCTGCATCCTGGTTAACCTTGTACGGCTCCTGATGACCAAACTGAGGCAGATTCCGGATGCTCCCCAAAGCAGGTCAGTTAGCAAATTGAGTTGAACACAGTATGAGACATGTCAAAGTCTTCCTATCACCCCCCCCCCTCCCTCTTCCCCCTTTTTTCCCATTTATGAATCACGCACCGATCGCTGTTGCGTAAAAATGTGGAAGAGCTCAAGGCTTTGTTCAACATTTCTGCAACAGTAATGACTTCATGTGGCTATTCCTAATTGGACAAGTCAAGTGCGTGGAGAGAAAAAGGAAGGCCTTCTCAACCAATATTAGAGAACAGGGTATTCGTATGAAAATCCTGATTCAGGCAGGCATTGAACCATCTGAAAGTACTGTGTGCCCTTACACTCCTGCTTATTTTCGGGGGGGTGGGGGTTCAAGAAATAAACTGCTAAGGGACATCTATTTAAATATATTAGTACCCGAGAATTAAAAGCATCCTTAAAATTTGAAGTTAACTGAAACCTGAAGAAAGCATGGCAGTACAACACAATGCAGAGTACAGTGGTGCCGCATTGTTCTGCCTTTCGTAAGAACATCCCTTGAGATAGCTTTTATGAATATTTGATCACAGTTCAAAGAAGCATGGTTACTAAAGGAAGATGTGGTTCTGAGACATTTTGGATTCAAGTCACGCAATATGACGTGTTAGACAGAAGATTACGAAGAATTGGCCTTTGAGATATTCAATGAGTATTTTGGTCTCTGAGGTTGAGTTGAATGGTTATGTGTTCTGTGTGTGTGTGTGTGTGTGTGTGTGTGTGTGTGTGTGTGTGTTTGTGTATGTGTGTGCTTGTATCTGTTTGTGCGTGTATGTGTGTGTATGTGTGTGTAAGTGTGTGTGTTTGTGGGGGGGGAGGGGGTAGGTGGGTGTTTGAATGTGTTTTTGTGTGTGTTTGTGTGTTTGTGTTTGTGTATGTGTTTGTATGTGTTTGTGTGTGTTTGTTTGTATGTGTTTGTGTGTGTCTGCGTGTGTGTTTGTGTGATTGTATGTGTACAATTGGGGCAGTGAAGAAAGTGATAGGGGTAAGAGAAAGAAGTCATGTAGTCTCTAGTAAAATTTAAATAACTTTAGGTCAAGATTTCTGGAAAGCCCTGACAACTGGGTTAGCACGCTTGTCCTTAAAAGCGACCAAATATTAGTTACGTTCTCGGACCTTGTACAAAAAATCTTGTTACCAATTAAAGGTGGCAGTAAAGTTGACAAGGTAGTTGACTTTGTTGGTGATAAGCATTGCTCAAAGAAAAAAAATGCTACTTGATAATTATGGTAACTTTTATCGTGAAAATCAAAATTATAGGTAATCCCCCAGAGTGAGAGTTTTTCTCCCTTGCATGTTTATATAATTACTATTACTTGAGAGAAAACAAAATTGCCCAATCGAGGATCTATCATTTAAACTGAGAAGGCACCAAGATGACACGCCCCATTTATAAATAGCGAAAAGATTTAATTTGACTATTGCTATGTGTGCCGGCATACTTATAAGTTTAGAGACTGTTGAAAAAAACACCAGAGCTTTTCCAGTGTAATTAGCAGTTACGAGGTCAATCCACAATAAATCAAGTTGTATTTTGCGTGACTCTGGAACTTTCTTGGCAAGCTTAATATTCCGATTGAACATTTGGCAAAGTGACCTGCTTTTCGCAGGCAATCGATACACACATCAAGATGCCAAGCAGGGTTTCAGAATTCCCCGGGTTCAGCAGTCACAGCAACGTCAGTTCGGCGGACAGCTCATCAGTGTAGGTTGGAGCGGAAATACAATTATAGGTCCTTTAAGAGATTGCTCCCACTGTAGAATTTTAATTGCGAAATTGATTAGACGTAGAAAATAACATTTTATGGCCCGAGTCAATATAGCGTAGTTCTCAAAGAATAGTATGGTCATTGTAAGTTTCGATAAACAAAGAATACAATAACACATAGTTTAAGTAACTCTTGTCTTGAAGAAAGACTATCATTTGAAACAATCTAAGCAGCTTTGTGCCAAAGCAAGACCGTGAACCATTAAAAAATGGTAATCAGATATACCGTTGCAAAAATAACGCAATATTACGAAACTAAATACTGTTCGTAAGAGAAAAAAAATGCTGACAAAACAACGTGAAGCAAACTGTATCATGACTGCCTTGGTCATAATGACCGACGATAACAGACTGAGTGTGCATGTGTGTGTGTGTGTGTGTGTGTGTGT